TGGACGAGTTGTCCGAACCTGCCCGTAGTACATGCGCTTTAATTGCAACTGCTGGCAAATAGCTGCATGCTTGCAAATACATAACTACTTGCCAGCAATCGAAATTGAAGCGCTTCAATTGCGTTCTTATGGAATCGACCTCATACAGCGCGGCGGTCCCGCAACGACGCTAGTCAAGCAAGCGCTCTGCACAGCGTAATGTTGGGCGATCCGCCTCTTTATGGGTGATCCGCCCCTCCAAGAGGACTTCGACCCCTTCCAGCGCATTTTAGAGGTAGGTTTTGAAATTAAAGACATTTCCTATAAACTTTAGTTGGGCTGGGGCTGGGCTGTTTTTGACGTAGATACCAAGTAGTTGAATACCCTGCTGGATGTTGCTTTAAGGAATAGAGTTTAGTTATGGTATTTGGTGAATCGCCAAACAAGTTGGGCAATAGAAAGCATGCCGGCAGCCGCGTTTGCACGGAAAGTGAGCCGGTCCGGGAAAGCCCCGTTTAACGTCGTCTTTTCAGATGTCTGGTGCTGACCACAAAGTATGTATTTATTCCTATTTCTATGGCGAGCCAAAGAATGAGACAGGATTGGAAGAGAGCGAGCAAGAAGTCGGCTATGGTAGATAGGTGGAGTGATGTAGTGATAAGTTATGAAGTTGCGTAGGGGCCAAGGGGATGTGCAGGATTAAAGTCAGGTACATGTTGTCTAAGATATCTTGCTTCCGGCAGATCTAGAATATTCTTACAACGTGAATCCCAGGCGGTCAATTCCCCAATACGTTTAATATGCCCCCCCCCCCCACCCCCCCCCCGCCCCCCCCCTCGTTTGAAATGGAAAAACAAATATATAGGTATTGGTTGGCTCTCGAGTGGATCCGTCGAGCAAATCCGAAAACTAGGACATACCAAGATTGTTTCCTTAGCCGCATTAGCAGTTAATGAATTTATCAGTGAATATTCTCCAAACTTTAGGGGTTTCATTTGAAACGGATGATGACATCGAAAACTTACTGACAGAGCTCCGGTTGCTTAGTTGGGAGCAGAACTCGTTTAATATGAGTGGGCGGTGTGGACACGACTGGGTAATGATATGGGTGGAGGGGGTGCCAGACGATTTTTTGAAAGAGTCAGTGCGATGAGGCTGCCCGGAGATCAAATCGGTCACCTTATTCGCTACGTCGTAGTTCACGTTGGTAAGGATCTCGTCCGTAACATTTGTCGCCATCAGATCACTTTGTAAGGCCCTAGCGCTAATGTCGCGCACTTTCAAGCCGCGACAATGGTAATCTGGGACCTCGTGGGTATCCCTATCCCTTCAAGTAGTAATTTTGGATTAACTCACTGGTGTGCTCAATATCGCACTCATAGTTGCTGCCGCTTAATACAACATTTCGGTAAGCTACGACGTCTTTTTTGTTTACTTTAACCGTATGATTTTCCGTGAAAACTTTTTGCTGTTGTTTTATATAACAAGCACAAGGGAATAAAACCAAAACGAATTCTGGTATTTTCGCCAGAAAGCAATAATTAGGAAGCCGGGAAATTATCACAAATGTATTATTTTTTTTAGTTTAGTTTGGAAAAAACATCGGGAATTCCGGTCATGTGAAGTTGGAGTCTTAGACACAATATTGTACTTTCAGTTTGAATAACAATATGACACATTCAATATTTTTGAAATAACGAACATTACAGTTATGAGGTTGCGAAGAAGGGCGAGGCAGTGTTGACGATGCGACCAAGTACTTTGCACCTACAGAACACACAATAAAATGAGTGAAAGCAAGCCAGAATTTTGGAGGATAGAGATCGTATGAAGTATTCAGGCAAGTGGAATTTATTTATTTATTTTTTGTGCTTGACACGCATAAATTTTGAATAGCATTTGGTTAAATTCCCACAATGCTGTCAAAAATAATTTACCAGTACGCAACAGTGCAAGCAAGCTACCTGAGGTTGGATTCACTAGCCTGTTTGTAATTCAAGAAGAGGACGGTGATTGGCTATGGCAAGCTCGTACCTGTAAGCAAAGGTTGGATGTTAAGGAGATTTCAGCATAGTTTGAACGGTCTCAGGCTTTAGCAGGCATAAGTTTAAAACTGGGGTCCAGCGGGGGCGTGGTGTACGATGATCTTGGCTGATCCCACACGCCAGTCCTTCACTAGCGGTTTCAGATGAGTTTTTGTTTCAGTACACTTATTTATGTTATTGACGTATGGGTGAAAGTCCGGGAGTGGGATCGGCGAGGGGATTGCAGCGTTTCGACCCACGCCACCCCTTGCTGGGACTGTCTTTAGCTCATCGGATTTAGTGGCTTATTGCGCAGGGAGCGATCAACTGAGGATACATCATCACGAGGAGAGGATTGGTAGTATGAACACGACTAGCACAGACTTTGAACACATGTTGTTGTCGGGTATGTAGACCTCTAAATGTGGCGGTGGCGTTGCCACGACAGGCAAAAGGGTTTGATCCGTTGCCGAACCCGTACTTCGTGTGTTTATCAATCGGCAGTATTCTCTTTTTTTATATTAAGTAATGGAGAATAAGTAATGTGATGATATGTGCTGTCTAGGTTCCAAGGATATGCCTAATTTTTTTCAGAAAACGAAAGTTGCAAACGAAGCGAGGTCTTTATATGACTGCACCACACGGTCCGCAACGGAGTGGCCAAACATTTCTGATGCGGCCTCTGGAGAACGTCTAGCAAACAAAAACCAATCGAATCCGAAGGAAAGTAAATACGATTTTCTCTTATCTCATGTGGGACGTTCAAAACATTCAGCAGAGAAATTGCGACAAGAAGCTTAATAAAAAGGATAAAGCATTTGCCGTTGATCAATCCCTTTTTGGGATGCGGCACGCATTCTACTTCCATTTGTACATTCGTAGTGGCGTTTGAATGCGATGTGGCCTATACAATGACTTGCGGGGCCAGCCGATGTACAAGTCAGTGTTTTTATCCTCCCAGACAAGTCTGGTACCAATTAACCGACCCCGGAGGGATGGAAGGCTTGGTTGGCCCGGGCGACTCACGACCCAGGATTTGATCCCCGGACCGCTCGCGTGGTAAGCGTGCCACTTGCCACTACACCACTTCCGCCTGCGACAAAAAGAACCAAGGAATATTCTTTAGGATGCACAATGACATCGCAATCCCGCCTGAGCAAGTGGCAATTTTTATTTTTACGCGGAAAATACCGAAAATCCCTTGCTGCACGTAATCTGCGGGAAACGCAGTAGAGGTTCGATGAAACAAGTTTTATGGGAGGATTTAAATTTGAGGCAGCCACTTTATTAGGCTGTCATAAAAATTTGCTAGCAAGACAGAAAATCGATTCCGATATCAAATTTTTCAAAAGACGCATGTTTACATTCATCATAACAGTCAAAACTGATTGACTGGAATGTGTTCCATAAAATGTTTCATTTCCACAGGAAATTTTCCCAACAAATCGATCCACTTTTCTGAAATTGAATACTGCGGTTAAGTTGCAGAAGCATCGGAAATCATGACCACGCTAATGTTACCGGCGTAACTTGAGTAAGGAGATGCATTGGTGAAAAATCTGGAAAACAACTCAAAATAAAAAGTTGAAATATTGACGACTCGAGAAATTTTCTTTTGACAAGGCCATACTGTAGCGAGTAAGTTCCATGTAGGATAGCAACTTTTCCGAGGTGCCCAGTATTCTGCACGAAATAGTGCAAAAAAATATTGGTCTTAATTGTGTTAGTTTCTTGTGCCGTACGAGGTTTATAGGTGGAACATTTATTAGTTCGGCCTAACGTTTCGACAGAAATCGTCGTCTTCTGAGGCCTAAGTGCGGTTCAAGGTTGAGACTTACGTTCTAATCATTGATTTTTCGAAACGTTAGGCCGAACTAATAAATGTTCCACCTATAAACCTCGTACGGCACAAGAAACTAACACAAATAAGAAGAACGATGCCGAGGTTACAAGAAGAAGAGAGAAGCTGGAGACTATTGGTCTTAAATTCGGGATTCTTTTCTTACTGACAAAATTATTGCGGCAAACTAATATTGCAATACTCTCGAGAATTTTCAGTAAGGTATGCTAAATAATATCACCCGACTAGTGTTCAGAAACTGGTCAAGGCGTTCAGTTAACCAAACAAGTGTTAATCATGGCGGGGCTAATCCAGATGAGAGATCAAATTATGCCTAATGGAACCCTCTCGAGGAATCTCATAGAGCTGAGCAGACCTACTAACCACGTTCAAATGCGAAAGTGGAGCACGAT